AATGGGTCATTTTGGGATTATTGTCAATTGGAAAAGTCAAAGTGGAATTATGGACCTTTGACTAGGTCATTTTCACAAGTACCCCTGCTTTAGGGAAGGAATTTTGATATATGTTTATAAATTGTTTTATTAACTTTTATGGGTTTAATAGTTATGAGGATTCTTTTAGTTAGTCAATTATGTTTCAAGAGGTTCCATGTGGAACAAGATTAGGTTTAGGGAATTAATGGGAAAAAAATGAAATGATGTCAATGTAGGAGAAGAAATACTGCCTAGGGGTTTTTTCCATCAACGAATTTGTTTTCTATGGCAGAATTCATGCCTATTCTAATGGTGCAATGTGAATTCTGAACTTGGGATGCGCTTATAAATCACCTTAAGTTTGAAACTCTTCTATGAAGAGGGTTGAAAAGAAGTTATGTGCCAGGGGATTAGTTAAATCTGTTCAATAGCACTCTATCTAGTTTATCCAGTTATATTATTATGTCTATATTCCTGATTCCCACCTTTTTAACTCTTAAATTTGAAAAGTTACTGAGCTATTCCTTGAGACTGTAAGGAATATGAAGAAGTGAACTGGAATGAGCAAGAAACCTGTCAGATTTGGAGGCCTTGATACTAGAGATCTTATTACTTCCAAAATGTTCTTTTGAGTTGTAACTTTTCAAAGACCAAAAGTTTGTGTGGAGGGTTGTCAAAGGGAGATAATATGGTTATGAGTGGGGATATTGGTGCTCTATATAAACTTGTGACTTCTTATGTAGCAGAGCTATTAATTTGTTTGACTTTTCCGTTGGTCATGGGAACAGGGTCAGGTCCCTGATGTTCAGGGTTAAGATGACATTAGTTAGTTGTTCGTTTTTTCCATCAATGAATTTGCTTTCTATGGTAGAATTCATTTTTACTCTAATGGTGCAATGTGAATTCTGAACTTAGGAGGGTGTTGCAGGATTTTGAGGTCCAGAAATCTACTTCTATGTAAGACAGTGTCCTCACCACTTATTATTTGACCCTTAGGCTTTGAAGTTGAGTGATGACCTCCATCTCAATGAAATGACTGCGTGTAATTGCTTGTTTCTGCCAATCAAGAAGTAAAATATTTGCTTCTATGTACACTTTTATTATTCTATTGACATTGTTGTAAGAGCAGTTTCTGAGTCGAGCACAATTGATGGAAGTTGAGTTTTGTATATTTAACTGCTAACATCTATTAATTTCGTGATTTATTCATTTTTCTTGAAGCGTTATCTTTTTCTCCTCTTTCCAGTGGGGGTTGCTTGGTCTTTGGTGGTGCTTTTGTATAATTGACAGTGGGGCTTGCATGGTCTTCCTCCAAAGAAAATTCCTCGAACCATAGAGAACACCCATGAGATTGACGATACTGTCCGTAATTTTGATTGAAATTTTTGTTTTGCAGTTACTGCTGTAGAAAGTGAAAGGAGGGCTCTGCAGTATTTGGGATTGGATGCAGAAAAAAGCTCTGTTGGTTTTGATGTAAGTAAAAACTGGATTTTCCTGCTATAATTTCTGAGAGGATGAAGTTTTGGCTCCATTTCATTTATTTAATTTTGTGATTCAGAATTGATTTTTCTAATGTAGTTGTTAGTATTTGGGGTTTTTTTTTTGATAATCTTTAATGTTTGAATTTAGGGATTGAAGGTGAATCTGATTATGATAGACTATTCAATGCCAGAGATGACAGGATATGAACTTCTCAAAAAGATTAAGGTTAGTGATTTTGGTATTTTTATTTCAAAATGAATGAGGGTTTTAGATTTTTCCCTGATGCTTTATCATTGTTATCATGATATTTCTCTATTCTTGATTGACGCTATTAAGAAATGAAGGTTAATGTTTTTCTTATTTGCCCTTTTTCAACCAGAGCTCATCGAATTTACGGGAAATACCAGTGATGATTATGTCATCTGAGAATGTTTTAGCTCATATCGATAGGTATATTCTCAATTTGATGTCAGTGTTTGATTAGTTTATTACCTGTGAAGAGGAAGTATTTCATCAGTTAGATTAGCATATCAGATCTTACCTAGACTTAGTTTCGTAATTTGTCCATTTTGTTATAGAATTCTGGATGACAGAATCAATTCATAAACTTATAAGATAGCCTCTGCTGGGGAAATTAAGAACGAAGTAATCAAGTGTGAGACGAGGTTGCTCTGATTCCTTAGCCAGTATCGAGACCATAGATTACCATGTTTTCCTTGCGCTGTTTTGATGCCGTCCTACACCTAATTCAATTTATAATTTTATGTTAAGAACCAGTACAGGATTGCACCTAATTTAATGTCTTCTGACGTGGGAAAAGTTGCTTCCATGTTTCTTCCAGATGGAACAAAGAATATTCCTACCAAAGCAAAGAAAAATGTTATTAGAATTCTTACTAAAGCCCAGGTTGATGCTGAGCTAGAACAGATGAAGACCATGAATGCACAAGAGGCAGCTGCAGCACAAGCAGTCTCAGAGGCAGTCTGAATTTTGTCCATAGAACAGTTTGAATTTTTTTTCTGAAATGTGGCGTATTCTTCCTTCTAAGCTCCATTTCCCATATAATTTCACCTGTTTGGACATTATTTTGGTGTCCTGTGTTTTTTGGTTCTCAAAACTGTTGTCTTACGGATTATACTAACGCTGGACTT